CGCGGTGCCAGGCCTGACTAACAGCCTGGCAGCTGCAAACCCAACGGGGCTAGAGCTGCACCTGCTGCTGCATTCTCAGTCCTTCACCCCAGCTCCCCCAGAAGTGTTTGGTCTCACTCACTACATCAAGTTTCCATTAGAAACCCAAGCTCTGTGGAGCAGAGATGTCTCCTCTGGAGCATACACGCTGAGCACAACACCAGCACTCTGAGCCCTGCTCTGACACAAAAAGCACGTTCAGGAGTCAAAGCTCCTTTGTTTGGCCACTGCCATGCTCAGGAAAGCAGAAAGCTGGGACGAAACAAGGCTGGCAGCAGTGCCAGGAGGGAGAAATCTCTGTCTCATAAGCAAGAGATGGTAAGGATTGGCTCACCTAAAGAAAGAGGCAGAGCTCAGGCAGCCTAAACTCAGCCTGCTGTGAGACTTTACCTGAGGAACAGGAGGGAGATTGGCACTGCTCAGCAGGTTCTGACTCTGCCAGGGGAAGGACAAGGCAGCCTTCCCACACAGAGTTCAAAGCAGTGCCACCAACACGTGTTCTGTACCACAGCCAGGTTAGACAGCAGAGCTTTCAGCAGAGGATTTGCATTTGTGTTCCTGCAGCTCAGAGGCAGCTGTTGGTCCCCAGCCCTCGGCCAAAGCCCACGGGCACCACTCAGCCCCCAGATCTCCCCCTGGAGAGGGCCAGGCTGGGGCAGGGAGTTACTTTCCATGTCTCCAGCCTCCCCCGTGCACAGCTTCAGGCCAGAGCAGACCCAGCACTGCTGTTTGGACCAAAGGCAGGAAGCTCCAAGGAGACTTATTCCACAGTGGAATTAGTCTTTTACCCTTGTCCAACCACAGCAGTAACTCCCACATGCCAAAAATGAAGCTTTAACTGCAGCCTGGGTTTGTATCTACTAGTGAAACTAGTGCACTGTCCTGCATGGGACAAAGCCATTGATTACTAGTCAAGTGGCTTCAATTTTAACACCATTTGCAGTTTATTCCTACAACTCCTCAGATTTTTAAAGCACTGATAAATTTGATTCTGAAGGTGTGCCTGCTCTGGAAGGAACAGGGAAGGGATAGTGAAATAGGACAAAGAAGACAAAAATAAGGAGGGCGATTTTCCAAGAACCAGATCATCTATTTTATGATGTTTTTTGACAGTGGAATAAGGACATCTCTGCTCCGAACTGAAGGAACAGATTGTCACAGCAAGGTAAGAACCTCTCCAGGGACAACCCAAGGCATGTAGGATAAGGTTTGGATTTCACACTGTTCTGACAGGGAATCAGGAGCAGCAAACAGGCAAACACTGAGGGGTTTGGGATGAGCTTCCTTAGCACCTTCCTTGCTACGTGTTCCAGGCCTCACAGGGACAGAGCTCACCAAGCCACACAAAGATTGGAGGCAGTTCCCACTGACACCAGGAGCTCAGCCAAGGGACCTGGCACAGCACGCAGAGCTGCACACCCCTACAGAGCTCCAAGCACCCCATGGCACAGCTGTTTGCCACTCTCCTCATGTGCTCCCATTCTCCAGCCTCTGACAAGGAGGGGGCAAATGTTTAGATGGTGCCTGTCCCACCTGAGACCAGGCTCCTTGGAGATCACACACATGGATAAAGCCTCCCACAAGGATCATCAGTTCTGCCCAGGACACCCCAACAATCCACCCTGTGCCTGAGAGCACTGTCCAAACACTCCCTGAGCTCTGTCAGGCTTGGGGCTGTGACCTCTGCCCTGGGGAGCTGTTCAGTGCCCAAACACCTCTGGGGCAAGAGTCTGTTCCTGATGAGGTTCAAACCTATAAGGTTCAACAAGACCAAGTGCCACGTCCTACACAATAACCCCTGCAGTGCTACAGCCACTCCTCAGACCCTTCCCCATCCTCATGTCTCTCCTTTGGACACCGTCCAGCAGCTTTAGATCCTTCTGACACTGTGGCACCCAGAACTGCCCTGGTGCTCGAGCCGAGGCCACTGCAGGGCAGAGCAGAGCAGGACAGTCCTCACCTCGGGGTCCCTCCAGGCCGAGGGCACTGCTGCTGCGAGTCCAGCCTGCCACCGAGCAGGACCCTCAGTGCCTTTCTGTGCCTCCTCCCTCCCTCCGTCTGGGGCTGCTCCGGAGCGGAGCCAAGGGTGCCCAGGGCGTGCCAGCCCTACCTTGCCCTTGTGTGTCTCCTGCAGCCACTGGCGCAGGCGGATGAGGCAGCTCTCCTGCATGGGCGTCAGCCGGCCCAGGTAGCGCTCGATGTAGTCGGCGTCCAACTTGTCAGCTGTGGGGAGAGCAAGAGCAGCTCAGGGCAGACTCTGCACGCTTCGGGCCCCTCTGCTTTCCCTGGCACTGCTCGGGAGCTCTGGTCTCAGCTGCCCGAGGGAGGGACGCGCCCACAGCTCAGGGCACGAGGCCACAGCAGCACCTCGCGGAGCCGAACCGGCTCGTGTCGCTGTCTCAGAGCACTAATGTTCCATCGGCCCCGAGCTGCTCCGGCAGGATAACGCAGAGATTGCTCTTGGAAGTGTGACAACCCATTGAATTCCCAGGGCTGGGAAGCAGGGAGCAGGCCCAGCGAAGCTAAACAGGGATGTGGGGAGAAGAACAAGAGCTACTCTCCCCTGCTGCTAGGTAGGGTCCACCACTCTTGGGTTAACTTCTAGCACTTCTCATAGGCAGCTCCTCTGTGGGCCTTGATCTGTTTCCAGATGGATTCCAATGCAGGGAAGCTACCAGAGAAGGTCAGGTGAGACCAGAACCACTGATCCTTCAAATTCCAAGCTTTTTCCAAAACAAGAGCT